CCACAACACATCTCACATGCGTCACACGCACTCTGTAGGAAGCCACTCCAAACTCCGATAAGGTGGGATGTATGTATGCAATAGTAAAGCAACAAGATGTGGGAAAATAACAGGTAGGGTACATCTGAAAATTGCCCTTTTCCATTATCAAATGCATGTAAAATTTCTTGATCCTAAATTCATTTAATTTTTCCTCCCAATTTGAGAGAGTAAAATGTGATGTTTATTAAATAAAAATGATGTGATTGGCTAGTGGAACCCTGTAAGACATCCACAAAAGAATACAAAATATAAGACATATTAAATTGGAGCTTGACGATGATATATATATATATATAATATAATATAAATACATGCAAAAAGTACAAAATATAAGGTTCTGCGTATATGTTCTCCTTCCAAATGGAGCCTAAAAAACAAGATGCCAACTGATTAGTCGATAAGGTCTCCAGCCGATTGTCAGGGAAACTTGCGTTGAATCTTGCTTATACTAGGGYTGGAGGGGATTATGGATTTGGGATGGGCTACCCAAACTCAAATAAACAGGTCCTATAAGGTCTGGACAGGTCGAATGCCCAAAAAACACCACAAAATTATCATCCGGAAAGATGAATTCACACAAATAAGAAAATCTTTCACCTGCTACTGCTACTTTGTGCTTGGTTATTGTTTCCGTGTTCTCTATTTCTTTTCTCCATGTAGCATTTTTTTTCCTGACGTGGTTTGCAGAACCATCTCCGAAAGATACAATGTCTTGGTTGAGCCAAGAGAAGGCAAGAGTTCAAATGCTACTTTGTGCATCAAAGTTACTAGGTTACTAGGAATGCAATTTGAACGGGTTGGGTTTAAGCCTTTGGAAACTCAAGGGCCTGGACTTGGGCATGGGCCCGGCCCAATGTGAGGTCATTGCTTGTGTTGGCAGTCTAAGTCCAACCTGAATTAAACCCAACCCTACTTTTTTTTTTTGGATAATAAAAATAAGGGGGCTATACAAGAGAGGGACTCTGGATCTCCTGCCCATGAGAATTCTGCCCATGTCTATCCACAACACACCACCCCCGTGAATTGGAAATATCTCCTCGTGCATAATACTATGCAGAGGTTGAGATGTTCTCTATGTGTGGCTGAGATAAGCATGGGCAGAATTTCCGTGAATTGGAAATATCTCTTCGTGCATAATACTATGTAGAGGTTGAGATGTTCTCCATGTGTGGCTGAGATAAGCATGGGCAGAATTTGT